GAAATCCCTTTTTCATCTTTGGACCGAGCTAGGAGAATATGATAGTTGATAATCGAACGCACACACTTCAAGGATCGAGCATTATTTAATTCACATGAGACTGGTTCACTTTGTGAGAGTCGGTCATCCCAGGTTTCAAAATATTTTCGGGTGAAATAACATTTTCTTTCGTCTTTTTACTTCGATTTACGAATGGAGCACAATGAAGGATGGCGCGCGTGATTAGCCGATATATCTTGTCATTTAACCCCGTTTTGAACCTGATTAAATTAAATTTTACTGCTCTATCTCCTATTTTCAATCACACAATTTTTCATACAATAATGTTACACGTAAATTAAATTTTTTTTAATTATTTTTCAGTCAAGCATTCTCCAAAAAAAATATTATTCCACTCATTAAAATTTAAAATCTTGGAAGCCATTTGGGGGCTTATTGGTGTCCTAATTTTTTTAAAATTTAATTTCTTAGTATATTTTTCCACCTCTTATGATTATTCATTCATCGATTTTATTCTGATTGCTCAACAAAATGCTAGTAGAGATATTACGAAAGAATGTTATCATTGCATTTTCATTTATTAAGTTGAAAAGTTGTAAATAATAACGAATAGGGATGGAATGAACCGACGAAATGAAAGTAGCCCCTATTTTTTTGTCACCCATTATTTGGGCAATTAAAGAGTTTTGAATGATATTTTTTGTACAATGTGTGGTTAAAAAATAAAAAAAAAATTATTAATTTGTATGTAGAATATTTTATTATATAAATGTATGTTGAAAAATGATACTGTAACAAATAATTTAAAACTTTAAAGAGAGCAAAACAGGCATTTAGTTTTGATCGACTTCGACTAATTAATTAAAGGGACGTGATCGCCTATTACAAGAGTGCAAAGAAATTTGACTACGGGCAGTAGATGATAAATTATCATGAAACCCATAAACATCAACTTTTTTTTTATGAATGTATTAACATTAAACATGGTCGAATTACCTATAGTACTCACTTACTGTTTGATTCGTTTGAGAATCAATTTTCTTGTTCAAGAAATAGAATATAAAGATTTTATGGAAACTAGTGAGGCATGGGGGTTGTGATTATTATTATTATTATTATTATCTAAAATATTCTATACATAGACACACAAAGAGAGCAACAATCTGAACATAAATTATGAAAATATTTACTCCCCATTTGGCCCCATTAATTTTGATTATAATGGGAAAATAGTATTTTTTTTATTTTTTATTTTTTGAAAAATGAATGGTTGTAAAAAAATGAAAAAATTTCGAATTATATGTAATATTATTTTATTGAAAATTGTGTGGTTAAAAATGGGAGAGAAAAAAATTTAATTAATTTGATGAGATTTAATAGAGGCCAAACGGGCCTAATGTAAGAAAATTTCACACCTATTTTTGGATTTTCGAAATTTTTTTAAGGGAAAAATTCATTTCTAAGAGAGTAAGTGTACCCTTTTTCAAAATTAAAAAAAAATGGTTTAAAGTTTCAAAAATCAGATTTTTGAAAATTTATTTATAAATTAATTTGTTAAATATATATTTTATTAATTAAATATATTTAGGTCACAATTTTTTGTCACGGTTATCTAATAAATCAATCACGAATTAATTTTCAGTCACAAATTATTGGTCGCAACTTATTTTTCGGTCACAAATCGAAAATTTAATAGGTCACAAAATATTTTTCAATCACGAATTCAAATATTTTATAGGTTACAGATTCAAAATTTTTATTAATTACAACTCATTTACTCATTACAAATTATTGGATTAATTGGTCACAATTAATTTTTCGATCACAATTTAATCAATAGTTAGTCACAATCGAAAGTCACGGTCACAATTTTCAGGTCACGACTAATTTTTTTATTACGCCTTAATCAATTGTGAGTCACAATCAAGGATCACAGTCACAATTTTCAGGTCACATATCCAATTATTAATCAAATCAACCAAATAATTGGTCACAAGCATTTAATCACATCTCACCCCGACCACCGCCACCACATAAACACCAAATCTATCGAGATTCGCCACCACCGCCAACATCTCCTCCATTGCTGCCAACATCACAACCACACCACCCAAACATCACCAAAGCCATACCACAGCCGTCGCAGCAACCAACCCAATTTGATTTCATCTCCTAGATCACCGTCGATTTCGTCGCTGCAACAGATCCCAGATCTTGACAACACCACCGCAAAATAGATCCAAAAACACCATCACTATCCACCACGCCGCCACCGGCTGCACCGCATCCAACAACAAAAAAAAATCAACAACAACAACCATCGCACCTCACGCCACTGTAGCCGCACACACACCACACCTACGCACACACAGATGCTGCAGTAGCTGTTGCGACGCTGCTACGAATGGTAGCGTCGACGAACAGCATCGTCGCGATGCTACCGTTCGCGGCAGCATCGGTTGGCGACGCTGCAGTGATGCTCGACAACCTCCTTTCCAGCAGCGCGGGCCGGAGCAACTCCTCCAACCTCCATCGTCGACGGTTTGAGAGAGAAGACATGGGAAACGATGAGAGAGAAGCATCTTTTCCATCCTCCGTCACCGACGATTTTGAGAGAGAAGACATGGGCACGAAGAGAGAGAAAATGAAATTCAAATCATATTGGGGTTTGGAATATATAAATAGATTGAAAGAATTCTGATTTTTGAAATATTAAAACATTGGCCTGCTTTTAGAAGTGTGGATTTTTAATGTAGGGTTTTGTGTAATTTTCACTTTTTTAAACCCCTCATGTCTTGAAGCCCAAGGTCACCGCCTGGATAATCTTGGGCCAGAACCTAGCTACCTAACAAAGACTTCTGAGATTCCTCGGTCATTATTGACCTAACATGCTCTTGGGGACATTCAATGAAGATTTGTGCAGCATCCTTAAATTCCACATGCAATTTAAAGACTTAGCCCCTATTATTTAATGGGGATTATATTTCAAATTTTAATTTAAGATAAAGTTAAAAAATAGTTTTAATTATATATTTCATGATACTTACAATTTTTCAAATATGCATTTTATTAACTTTTATTAAAGTTATTAAAAATTTGATTTTAATTCCCATCAAACAAACCTTAACAAATATTTAAGCTTCTCGATAAAAATAGTTTGTAAGAGCATTCTCCATTAAACTAAGCCACAATGATTAACCTTAAGGGAAAATTAGGAACGACTCGATTCAAGAAATCACAAACATCATGGGTAAGGTGCCCACTAGCAAAACTAAAATGGTCCATTAAATCAAGGCCATGCAGCCTCAACCACAAAAGACGTGTCAGCTCATACATCACTTGCTTTTCAAGAGTTAAACTGAGCAATCCAAACATTTATTGTAGGAGAAATTTAAATGCATCAAATTTCTCAAAACTCATGATACATCGAAATTTTATAAATTTAATTAATGGATAATGGAATTCATGGAATATGTTACGCCTCATATCTAAAGCTTTCAGGGGAGTCCACGTCGAAGCCATGTGGAGGTACTACACACAGACAACTAGTAGTCAACGAGTCCACGTCGAAGCCATGTGGAGGTACTACACACAGACAACTAGTAGTCAACAAGATCAAAAATAAATAAAGGGAAAAAGTTGTTCTTTGGTCGAAACGCTATCTTCATCTGAAGTTCTTAGGCTGAAACACTTCCTCTATTGGCTTAACCTCTGCATATTCGAAGCTCTCTCTTAATGCCAAAGCACATCTTGCCTTTAAAGTGGGTTTGAAGAGTATTTTTAAGAATGATTGATGTAATGTTTACATTAATAAAAGTTGGAAGTGTTGGCATATGGCAACTGACCTCTTATCAATGTAATTAATATATGACAAAGAGCGATCTGAGGCTCCAGCTAATGGGGATGGGACCAAGTGGTTTTGATCCAACGATGACCACGTCGACCTCAACCCTACAAATATACCTAAACTTTATATACTTGAAATTAGAACTCTCTCTTATTTATCTCTTTATGTTTGATTTTGGATTCATTTTATTTTAATAGAATTGTTTGCGATTCATTTTTTGGTTTAACAATTACGTCACATTGTCGCTGCTCGAACGTTTTCGTCTCGTGTCATAGAGCATCTCCTACATCCATTATTATCATAACTCTTCGACCATATCTTCGGTCTAAATGTGTCGGAATTTGCTTGCAATAACACAAGTGAGTCCGACATCTGTTGTCCCCGGTGCCATTGTAATAAAGAGGGGTCAATAGAAGACACATACACTTTCCATCAATAAAAACTCTATCTTTATCCTTATTGGTAAATAAATACAATTTAGATTGAATTTAATATGTGAATCCTCTCAAAATTTACAATTTAAATAAAGGGTATCCTTATTCTGTATTATTTGATGAATTACAAATATAGTCTAAGCATGGGCGATACAACTAAATGTTATAAATTATATGGTTAAAAAGTGAGATAAAAAGTTATGATTTCATAAAATATATTATTAAAATTAATTGTAAACTTTGACTTAGACACAATTCCTATTTCCGAACTCTCGATGTCCGAAAGAGGAAGAACGGCACAATAGAAGCAGTAATGGAGAGCCTACTTTTATTAACCTCCTATTTGGTGTATATTAAAATCTTGATAAAAATTCTAGTCGAAGTTAACAATTAATTTTAGCTATCATTTTATGAGATCTACAATTTTTAGAACCCATATATCATCAACTATTATTAAAACCTATTAAAAATTTACTACACCAAACAAAGGTTAGATATTCATCGAGTCTCGCGATCATTGTAAATTTTTTTGACCTTTTCTCACCGTGGGCAACGTGACTTGCTAGTGCTGTCCTACTTTGCATGGCCAAATGAACGTGTTCTTTATGCATGGACAACACCTGTCAAGAAAAGAATTACCCCAAATTATAAAGATTTTAAATATTTCAATTTTGTCAAAACTTGATAGTAGTTTGCTTTCCGCGAAGTGCAGAGAGAGAGAGAGATGGAAATAACAAGAGCTGAGACGACTATTACAGAAGCAGAGGGGGTTGCGCATCAGCCGTCGACGGCGGCGGAGGAGAAAAAGAAGATGAAGGTGTTGGTGGCTATCGATGAGAGTGATGGGAGCTTCTGTGCACTTAAGTGGGCACTTGACCACCTTTTTTGTTATCCTATTCAGCCCGATCAGGAACCTAACACGATCACTTTGGTTCATGTGCAGCCACTCTTCCAATCCTTCCTTTACCCTGCTGGACCAGGTAACCCTCGTACCCTAGCTCCACCCCTCAGGTTCTCTCTGCACATGTTTGGGTGTGCTTATAAGTAATTGGGACTCACTTCTATTTGTTGTACAAAATAAACAAACTTGTGTTCATAGCAATATTTTGGATACTACTTTATCTACTTTCTTAGCCCCGTTTGACAGATGATTATTATTATTATTATTATTATTTATATTTATATTTTTTATTTTTTTTAAATGAGCTTTTAAATAGTAATTTTTTTGGAGAATATGTGCTTAAAGGGAAAATTTTTGAGTTTATGTGAGGAATATTTTATTGTGACAATGAGTGGATATGGAAAAAAAAAAATGATTTCTGAAAAAATGATTGCCAAACTGGGGCGTTAAATGCAGTTTGTAAGTGGACCAATCAAGCACCCAGTGTCAGTGATACATACTGGCCTTGTTTGATTTGAATAAAAATTAAATTTTTACCGAATCTTGAGGAAAGTTCATAAAATTTGAAGTCAAACGGTTGATAAAAGTTCGTGGGCACATAAAATGCGATGTTGAAAATGAGTTTGTGAAAATTGAGTAATTGGAGCCAAACAAGGGCATGATTTTGTATATTTGTACGTATTAATCTCGAATGGGTTACTAAGGAATTCTTTGACGAAAGCTTTTATAAAAATTGACGAGATGTATAGTTGGAAAGTTGATAAAAGTCAATGGGTTAAAATTGAAATTTGAGAGCAAAATTTTATTAAAAAACATAGACGTTGCATTTGTTTTTTCAATATTTTCTATGAAAAATTTTCCACCAAAATTTCTATTTTGTAACGTTTGATTGATTTTTTTCATGGAAAATATTTTTCCACTTTTGTCATGTAAATATTTTATTTTATTTAGGGGAGCAGGTTTTTATTTTCTAGATAATTTCCTCTCTTTCTTTCTTATCTATCTCTTCTCTCTCTCTCTCTCTCGTCTACTAACCAACAAAAAAGGGATAAGTATAAAATTATCTAAGTTGAAAATTAAATAAATCAAATACATTTAATTGACAATTTACATGAAAATAAGTTGTAGGCAATTTAAATTCCTAGAATCATTTTCTTTCCATGTAAATTTCAAGTTTGCCATCAAACGTGCCCTAAATGAAATGGATAATGGAATAACATTTCTGGCAAGGAAAATATGGCGTTATGGACGTTACTTCAATACATAGAACTATAAAATATAATTTTGTTAATTTATACCATGCAGTACTTTTTATTCTATCATAGTACTTATGGAGTAAAGTGAATTGAATTACTTAATTACTTGAATTTGAATTTAAATTCTAGGTTATATAATACGGGAAGACAAAATATTAGTATATTTGTGTACTGAAATATTTTTATCGAAACTTTTGATTCTTCTAAAATTCAGCAGATGCACCCTATGCAACGCCTGAAGTGTTGGATGCTGTGAAGCAAGCCAAAGCGCAAAATGCTGCTAATATACTCTCTCGTGCTTTGCATATGTGCAAAGAAAAAAAGGTCGATTTATTTTCTTAGGATTATGAATTGAATTAAGAGAATGGTAATGTTTACTGTTATATATTGATCTAAACTAATTATGTTAAATTTTCGCTATCTTGTAACCAATGTGGACTGATAGCTCGATTTGTGACAATCCATAGCATTAAATGAAAATTATTGAGCTCGATCTTCACTTCAAATGATAAATATCTTTCTTTTCCTTTTTCCCCTCTCTGCTGCCCTTTTTGAAAACCTTAATGCTATGTTTGGCAGACCTAATTAATAGAATGTCTTAAGAATTACAAGTTTATACTGAATAGTACTAGGTATATGATGTGATGGTAGAATGAGGTGGATAGCGTTCTTTAATTTTCCTTTAAAAAATAGTTATTTGCAGTAACTGTATAACATCATGTGGAGGCTAAAGGTGGGTTTAGAATGAATAAGAGAAAGACCGTTTTCCTAGTAATAATCGCTATAATTGATACTCTGGTTTAATTCGGCGCGTCGATTGCATCCTAAAATCTTGACCCTGTTAGACTATTTAATTCCTTGCTCATAATTTCAGATTTCATTTGTTATCTTAGTCATGCATGATATCTATGATGGTATTACATTGTTTTCACTGGTTTATGAATTTAAAATTTCATTCAGATCAAAGCAGAAAGTTTAATTCTTGAAGGAGATCCAAAGGATAGGATTTGTCAAGCTGCAGAAGAATTACATGTTGATCTTGTAGTCGTTGGCAGCCGTGGGCTTGGCACGATCAAACGGTAATATGAACCTTTTCATCATGATCCCGACAAATATTTGAATGTAATCTAAATTAATCTCTTTTTCTATACGAGTCTAAGTTACCACTAAGCTCTAGTTTGATTTAGCCAAAAATCATACTAAACGTTGATAAAAAAAGTAATAATAATAATAATAAAATATATGGTTTGAAAGTTAGATAAAAGCTGTGGGTTTAATGAAACATGTCTTTGAAAATGAGTTTGAAAAAAAATAAATCTTAAAAAATGTGGGCCAAACAGGGACTAAGTTTAGAAGTTTAATCGAACGAAAGATAGCTAATTAAACAGCTATGGAAGAGGTTTCTTAAGAAATTGATGTACATTTTGGAACCATGCTATGTCTAAATACACTTATTTTGCTTATGAAATTGTACATGTAAACCTTGGTTATCATCAGTCTTTGGTTCTTGAGCATAAGCCCCCGTTTGAGCCCCATTTCTTCGAGATTATAATGTTTTGAATAGTATTTTTTTTAAAAATGAGTGGTTGAAAAGAAAAGAAAAGATTTTGATTTACGTGTAATATTATTTTATTGAAGATTGTGTGGTTAAAAGTAGGAGAGAGAAAAATTTAATTTAATGTAATGAGGAATAATGGGGTTCAAACAAATCATATAACAGTTTTCGTCTAGCAGGGCTTTGCTCGGAAGCGTTAGCAATTATTGTGTTCGTCACGCCCACTGCCCCATTCTCATTGTGAAACCTCCAAGTAAAGAGGCTCACGAATAATGAAATGTGCTAAGAATGTATTGTAAAACCATAGGCATGTAGAAATATTAAGGTTTCTATCTTTTCATTCCCTTGTTCCTGAACGATAACTATTAGTAATAAATTCATGCTCTATGTTTATCTATCTATTGATAATCCCTATTATTGGTTTGTTTGTAAGTGAATTGGTATTGATTTATATGATGATTAGAATATTGAGCTATAAATACTCACCACTTATTTATATTTATTTATAAATTAAATCATTATTAAATTTTTCATACACGGGCTGAATCTTTTTTATTTCAAGATATGGTATTTTAATATGTAGGGTGCAAGAAAGTTTTTTTATTTATGATTTCATTGTCAATAATGATAAGAAATACTTAAAATAACTAATTTGAAACTAAATATAGTGTTTGGAGATCATTTTGGAATTTGAAAAGTTTTGAGTACCCAAATTTTCACAAGGTTTCATTTCATTTGACATTTGGATTTTCCACTTCTCTTTTTCATTTTGTTGTTATTATTATTATTATTATTATTATTGCCAATGCACCAACATATTCAAACATGGAAAACAAACATTAATACAAATTGGATGAAACTCTCTTGCTTCTTGTAATGTCGTGTGCAGGATAGAGTGTTAGATATTTTTCATCATTTTGCATGTGTTTAATTTTTTGTTTTGCGAATAATTTGCCGCCCAGATTAGTATTTGCCGCTGCGCAACGGGGTTCGACCTGCCCGGTCAGGTCACGGGGGTCGAGGGGGCAACGCCCCCGAAAGAGAATTTTATTTTTCAAAAGTTTTCAATAGGTGCATCTGTTCAATTTTAACAGTCATTTCCAAAGGATACACCTATTCAAACAGTTGCCTCAGTATCTATAAATTCCGGGCAAATTCTCATTTGCAAATACATTAAAAACAATTTATTTTTCCTTCTTTCTCTTGGCATCAATCAGTTATATTCGAGTGTTTTCTTGGTTTGATCAAATAGTCACAATTTGAGTCAAACACCTCCATTGTATCCTGAGAGAGATTTTCTGTTATACGCCGTTGAGATTTTGTTGAATAGGAGAGAAACATCTCTTAAAAGATAACGTTTCATTTCGTGCCTTGGAGTTTATTAACGTGTTCAGATTTCCATACATTATTATCAACATAGAGCTAGTGGTGTGATTGATCGCAATGCTAATGGTCCCACAGTTCAACGCATGAATGAAGCTATGATAGCTCGGATAGAGATGATGGTCTTTTCCTGATGTCTTCAAGTCGGCCATACATAATAGAATAGATAGACGAAGCAGTCTATTCTCCTCTATCGATAATTATCAGGTTGCTTTAGCAATGAAAATTAAACACAATCTTGACCAATGAGACGAAATCACATGATTAAGGTTCTTATATCAATAGTTGAACTTGAAAGTTGAAAATTTTATTAACCATGTTAAATTCAAATTTCGAATGTGATGTGATTAACAATTTTCTATGCATAAAACAATACCTCGATATATATATTTTTCTAACTAATTAAATTTATGTCATCAACGAATATACATTCATTTGTGTGCCTTTTTAGATTATCTCTATGTCAAATTTATTTTTAATTACATAATCAATGAGGTTCGGCTTTATCTCTTTCATCAAAAACCTCACACACTTTCTAAATTTAAAGCCTGAAAATTGAAAATTAATTGAACATTTTCTTTCTTCTTTTTTGCGCTCCTCCATTCTTTTCCTTTTCAATCTTTATAATTAATGAACGATTTTTCACCATACGCGAATCTATATAACTTCTTCTGGAAATGTAGAATACAAAAATGTAGACAATCTAAACTCGAGAATACAAAAATATACATGATTAGGCTTCCACAAAATGATGATGACGATGATGATAATGATGGAGGACAAGGAAAGGAAAATTGGATAGTTGGTTGACCTCTTAACTTTATATTGCTTTTGTCGAACTAATTTTATATAGAATTTGTATAATGGTACATAATGAGATGTACAGAATGGTGTACACCCCACTCACATGGGTGTGGGTCCCATGTGAAAGAAAGGATATTTTATTTGGGTGGATTCCTCGTATATGTGAGTGAGGTGTACACCATTAGATACACTCCAATATACCACCAGTAAAATCGTTTTATATAATAAAGACAATTTAAGTGGTAAATTGTTCCGTGAATATGATTGAATCATGCTTACTTGAATTTAGGGATAAAAGGTAATTACCATTTCCACCCGTCAAAGATCTTTTAGAGGCGTGATGAGGATTAAAAAAGAAAATTTATTTTCCACCCTATTTAATTAATTCATTTATATTAAATATAAAAGTAAAATACAATAGAATAAAATAAAAGGACTCGAGGCGAGTCCGAAGTTCAAGCAAAAGACCATGTAGAAGTGTGCATTTTAACCAAAATCGAATTTGAATCGAATGGTTCTATTTACAAAATATCAGAGATTTAATGAGTGATCGAGTTCTTGAAATGCCAAACTATACCACCCAATGTTCTCTCCTAACACTGTGTCTCTCATCCCAGCTCTATTTACTATTCAAGGCGAAGTTGCGAGGCAATACGGAATGGTTCCCAGGCAAAGAAATATGTCCTCGAAATTTTTCTAAACGACCATTTAAGTTCAAAAAAATAAAAATCTAATTTCATAAATTGGACACTAGAGTCACATGACGATGTGATAGAAGGTTTAACCATAATTCCACGACTATAGTAAAATACGGGAAGGCTAATTTGATAATTTTTGAAAATGGAGGGTCAAGATGGTACAAACAATAGATTAGAGACCACAGTGCAAATTTCCTCCAAAATGTTTCGGGCAGGGCGTGAGACGAGGGAGTTTGCCGTTTTCGTGGGGTGAAATCAGCTGACTGGGACTGGCCAGCCGTTAAAGGAAAGAATCCATATTTGTTTCGGTTCACAGCACTGGATTTATGCAATCTTCACTATCAAATTCAAGATTTACAAGTACGAAAGGCAAAATTCAAAAGTACTAATGAATTTTTCTTCTTCCCTTTTCCGCTCATAGGAAAACACGAATCAAACAGAATGGCCATCACTTCCAAGACAAGTTCATACCTCCAATTTCCTATTACAATTTTGAAGAAATCCCATTTTCTTGAAATTATACTTTCCAGAAGTATGTAAAAATGGATGAATTCAGTAATCTGGTATCATAAAATTCACTGGGATTATCACAATCCCGTTAGTTGTTTTTGTTGTCAGATTAAAACGAACTTTATTGACACCTGGACTCTGTTCTTGAATTTTTCTCACCAAGATATACACTAAATAAATGCTACCTGAGGCGTGCATCCCTATGCAGGCCGTATACTCAAACTCTCTGCTGTTTCAGTCTCAATCAGAACCATCAGAAGGAAGAGTCCCGGAAATGGCCGAAAAAGAGAAAAAGGTAGTAGTAGAAGATAGCTGCTCGGAAGATGAAGAATCGAAAGGTGCAAACAAGAACAGCAGTGAGATTGAATCAACAAAGCAGTTCCTCAAGGACACAAATGATGCTCAGGCAGAAATGACGGAGAAGAAGAAGCAGTCACTGTCGATATCTCATGTGGTAAGCTTATTAAATGTTTATGTATCCACTCTTTTGATGTCTTTCTTTCTGAAATTATTTCAAGCAGATGACATGGTTGCTTATGCCTTTTTCATTGCTGTTTTCTTTTTCTTTTCTTTTTTCTTTTTTCTGTCGAATATTTCATCTGTTTTTAATGGAATGTAACGGGAATAAGGCTTAGTTTGCTGCTGTTGCATTCATGTATGTAAGGAGAATAAACCAGCAGTGCTATCAGATAATGGAATGGTTCAACTAGAGCCCATTGAAGCTGAAAACGAGTTCTAGTAATTTTGAATTCGATTGGGATAATTAGTTTCTTGAAATGTATAGTTCACTTGATTAAATCTTATTTTTTCGCATACGTGCAAAGGCTTCACCATTCTATATATCATATCCAAAAGCATTATGCAGAAATAAATATATGCTGCCACTTAGGAGAATGTTTCAGATGGGTAGAACAAGAGCGCGGTGTTGTAAGAACATACATTCTCTTCTGTTAAAAACATTTCAGATTGGGTAGCTTTTTATTAAGTTTAGAAAAAAAACACTGATTTTGGAGAAAATATCGTATTAATGCCGTGTAATCACTTGATTTAGATTGATGATAAAGAGGAAGAGGAAGAAGCAAGTATAGGTGTGAAAACAAGGTTAACAGTGGAAGAAGAACCTCATTTTAGAAATGAAACCATGGCGCTACAGATGCTTCTTGTGAGTGGGATTCGGCAATTTATTTCAAAATTTATTGACTTTGATTTCCTTAAGTGTGTGCATGTATGTTCTTATTAACTTGATTGACTAA